CAAAAATTAGACTTTTACCTTCTAGGGATTGATTGGAAATTGTTGAAGTTTTAGAAGATAGACCTTCACCTACTAGAGACTGTTTGGACATTGTTGATGCTATTATGGTACATGGACTTTCACCTAACAAAAAGGAAGAAAGAAAAAAAGTGTAGATATTAGTATAGGGTCATAAAAAATTTGTGTATATGATTTAATAGAAAGTTTATTAGAGAGTGGCAATTGTATTTGGCATCCTGATGTAATATTCATATTGATTTTAATAAAAATGACATTTTCTCCTTGACTTGTGCACATTTCTATCTCTGCTCTTTTTTTTTTTTTAACTTGACAACAAAAATTCTTCTTCTTCTAATATTTCTAGTGATGGTGTTGGACAATCTAAGGGAGCCTATAAATTACAAAGAAAAAATACACATATTATTAACACTTAAAAGCTTTATACATCTAACTTATTGATACATACTAACAAAACGAGTCACAAAGAACATTTCGTTTTTTTTTTTGCCATAAAAACTCACTATCAACATATTGGTGAATGATTGCACTTGAGGTAGTGCTTGCAATGTTGGCGGTGTAGAACATGGAATTGGAGCATTTGAATGCTCACATTTTACCTCATTTATAGACCTATTTGTCTTTTCAAGATGCTCATGAAATTCTTAAATCTTTTTTTCCTCTTAGTTCCATCTCTCTTTTTAATTCCTTTCGACTATTTACACTATAACTCCATCTTTTTTTCCTTGGTTTCCCCTTCTTTGGTACTTTTATCTTCTTCTTGTTTGTTGCCATCATTTGAATTCCTTATCCTTAAATGAAAGTCTCTTACTTCTTTGTGAAGTTTTATAATAAAGTTTAGCACAAAAGTAGAAGTCTTTGGGCAATCAGACATTTTAGCTGCTAGCTGTATCATCATATGACGTAGTTGTCTATAAGTGATTGTGTGCCTTAAAGCTTAGGATCCACTAGTATTTCATTTCCTCGAATATCATGTATCACACCATCTCTTGCATCTTTGGTCCATCTTTTCAAAATATATTTTCCTAGTAGTTTCCTCACTTCATTAACTCATATTTTTAAAGCATGACAACATAATATCTTGATAGATTCAAAATGCCTACAACTGTACCATATGGAATCTTTCTTGGGATTAAATGTTAATGTCCACTTTTTGTCTTCATTAACCATGGTACCAATATATGTGAACAATGGACTTTTCTCATCTCGAGAGGAAATACATGTGGCAAAAAAAAAAAAAGGATCTAATAGCTCTTGGAACAATTCTAACATTGAGGTGATGTAAATATCAGCAAGTTGTTGCAACATAGGTGAACTTGGACTATCAATTGTGGTTTTTTTCCCCTTTCATCAAACTCATATTTAATTTCATTATACCTCTTATCTACAACAACTAATATCAACACTTGGGTCTGTAATGTTCTTGATATTTACATTAACACTTTTACTTATTTGTGTGCTATGTATACCCAGAGTAATAGAGCACTTCATATAACACTATGCTAATTTCTCTTTGATTTCATATATGGACTTTAACCATAAGTTGTCTTTCAAATTGAATGATGATATTAAAGTAGCCCATGCTTCTTCAAATTGTGATTCATCTTTAATAGTAGACATACACTTATTGAAGGTACACCTAATATATGAACCACCCTTTAGCTTGTTTCCTAAATGTTTTATTCCATTTTGCCCAATATGAAATGTGCAAAATGCATGTTTCACTTTAGGAATAACTTCATATAGTACTCCTCCCATTACTTGATCTTGGTCGGTAAAAATTGTTGCAAGTCTTTTTTGCTTGTTTGCTTTCAGGAAAGTCTCTAAAAACTACTTGAATAATTCTGTGGTTTCATCATACAACAAAGCTATACCAAAAATTACAATTCCTCTATAATAATTGAGACTTAAAAACATGGCAAGAGGCCTCTAAATACAATTTGTGTAGTATGTGGTATCTAATGAAATTACATCTCCAAAATAAGCATAATCCACAACCATATGAGTATCACCCCAAAAAATATTTGTAATTTGATTTTCCATATCAAGTTGGTATAAATGATAAAATGAAGGGTTCTCGGTAATCTACTCTTCAAAATAGGTCAATAAGCATCCAACTTCCCCATCCTTCATACTTTTTTTTCGTTTAACTTTCAAATACTTTTTCATATTAACTTAAGTGAAACCAAGATTAGCTCAACTACCTGCTAGCTTCCTCATAAGGTCAAATGTTTCTTTTTGTTTAAGCCCAGCATCTTGAGCCAAATCAATCTTATTTGCTTGCACATTACTTATTTTCCTTTAAGACCTCATCGTATGCACATTTCGTTGAAGACGGAACGGGTGGTTATGCTCTTCCATAAAGCTAGTAATCTTGAATTTACCTTGTATTAAATTAACTATCATTCTAGCTTTACAGTTGATCCTGGTCTCATGACAATGATTGGTAGCTGAGGCATACCTTTTATCTAGCCTTCGTTTACCCTTTTTTGAACACACATATCTATATACAATAATTGTTTTTTCATTTTTCTTACTCTTTGTTGGCCCATTTTTCCTTGCACTAAAGCCTACTCTATAGGCATATCCATTCCAAAACTTCCATGCCTCCTCTAGATTATCAAATTCTTTTTCTAATTTAAGAGTCAAATCAACTTCTATAGCTTGAAACCTACAAAATAAATCTATGCAAAAACATATAATAAAAACTTCTAATGAAATTTGAAACTACATAAACTTAAAAAGATCTTACCAAATTAAATATATAAAACGATGATCCACATCCAAAAATAACACACATACAAAGAAATTTTATAGTAGATGCAACAAAATGAAAAAAAAATCTAAATAGAGATAAGTTCATGTTTAAAAAGGTACTATATTGTTTAAAAACAAACAGAGTTATTTTTGCCTTACCCCCCTTGGAATGAAGACGAAGCTACCTAATTGAATATCTATTTCATATAATGAAATCAGCAAAACGAGAATGAATATCAAAGCTTTCCTCCATAGTCAATGAGGGAATGATGAAAATGTTTCCCACCAAGCTGTAATCAAGAAGTAGTAGAGGTCAAAAATTTGCGGTTAGGATCACAACACTTGGATGGTAAAGATTCATTTTTAATAGCTTGGTGTTGTAGCGCATTATAAGGTCTTAGATCACTTGAATGGACAAGAGTTAGAGATGATGAGGGATGAGGAGAAAACCATGATGACAGGATTTGTTCCCAAGGTCTTCTTGTTGACATCCAAAAAGAGTCCAAAAGAAGAAAGGCCACAAGTATTCAATTGGTGCTTTTTGAAGAATATCTTGAGTAGTACTATCTTCTGGTGTTAATATAAACACTAAATACTTAATTAAAGACACTAAAAAAATAATTAAATTAGCTATTTGTCATGAATGTGTATTAATCTCTCTAAATTATCCTATTCAATTATGTGTATTGAATAATTGGAATTATTTCTTGGTGGGAACTCCTTAAAAGCAATAGGAATATTTTAGGAAAAGATAAAAGACAAAATAGATTAAGTCTTATATTTAAAATTAAATTCAATTCAATTAGTTTTTATATTAAGAACTGAAGGTAGTAATAGCATTGTGAAGCAATTTTCATATGGAAAACAATTGTTTATCTTTTTGAATAACTTATAAATAGCTTTTCAATCATAATTTATATAATACAAAATAAATATATAAGAAAATTTTTATCTTGAATTACGTAAAACATATTTATAAATGATTTCATTTGTAATTCTAGAGGGGCATCTAGGGGAGATTGTCCATAGAAACTTTCATGATGGACCTGAGGTTCTTGTAGCAATAAGAAAAGGGCGAAGGAAACGTTTGAAGTCTTCTTTGAATGTATAATTTCTAGAAGCTTTTGGATAAAGGAGCATTCCATCGAACGGGATTCCAGGTAAAAGATGCATGCAGTAAAAGGCCTGCTACATGAAGGAGTTTTAGTGTAATTGCAGAGGCTTATTGCATTGGCACCCAAAAAAAAAAAGTGGTTAGGCTAAATGTCAGGGCCCTTGCCAACCCTACATTTTAATTTGGTGGCGATCTCATGAACTTGCACTGGTAGCCCTTTCCAAATCTAGGAACTACTGATAAAGTTCCTAAAAACAAGGATCCTGATGCAAAGATTAAGGTTAAGAGGAAAAGATTCTCCAAACTTATTCGGCCAATAAAATATGGCTTGATTGATACATTTTGTTGGATGAATTCCTAACCTCACTTTGTCCAGAGGAAGAAAGACAGTGGATTTTGATCTTCCCTTCCCACCAATAGATAAAAAAATTCCAAAAAAATACTTTTAAAATTTTAAAATCTTAAATTAGAAACAATTACAAAAATATGTTATTACTTATTTTTGAAATGTTATTAGTGTATAGTAAATAAGACTGATTTGAAATTTTTAAAAGTCAAAGGTATTTTTTTTAAGAACTCTTTAGAAGAAATGTTAATGCAATAAGAACTAATATAATCACAAATTTTTTGAGGCAAGATATTTCCCCAACTGAGATGAGAACTTGTTCCTATTAGTTGAGCAAACCTTTTTTTTTTTTTTCATTTGGTGAGGTAACACCAGGACTACAAAAATGGTGAAATATATTAAGAGGGTATTTGGATAGAACCAAAACTATGATTTTAAAAAAGATTTTAAAAATATTTTTACGATATACGAATTGAATATGTAGAGGGGTTTATCTCAATTTACAGAAAAGTGATTTTAAAAAGCATTTTTTAGGGTGTCCAAATACCCCTAAGTTTTAGGGGGGAGTCACTATTTTTATTTTTATAAGTTTTTTTAAAATTTGTTTTTTAGCTTGAATGATGTGGGTGTTTGAATTAACTTTTTAAAAATTATTTTATAATAATTACGTAAGTATTTTTTTGGGTAAAAAAAAAAAAAACTCTTTCCCGATACTCCACAGCTCCAACTTCACTCTATAGTGCTTCCTCTTCACTCTCCTCAAACCCTCGCCGCCGCGTTGGATTCTTCTCCGTCACTCCCAAATCGACCCAATCCTCACGGCTCCATCTAATGCTTTGATCCGGTGCTCCTTATGATTGCTCTCCCCTTCCTTTAATCTCATATCTCGGCCTTAGTCTCTGGTCAACGAAATTCCTCAAGTGGTCAAGAGTCGCCAGTCTCGTCTCGGCGTAATCCATCTGTTCGTTGCAAGTCGTGAGTCGTATCTCAACTTGATCCCCCAGGTAGTCGCAACTCGCAAGTCTCAAGCCTCTCAACTTCCTTTTTCTGGGTTTGAGTTTCAAATTTGTGGTTTTATTAAGAAAGGAGAAGGAATTTGGCCACTCTGCTCTGCTTCGCTGTTTCCTCGTTCCTGAGTTCTAAAACGGTTTCAACCAAACCGAACCAAAATGATTCGGTTAAGTTCGGTTCGGTTCGCTGCCAAAAAAAGATGTTTGTTTATGTTAGGAACTCCTTTTCAGTTTTCTCTTGCTTCTTTCTTGTGAGTATTACTTTTTTTTTGGGGGGGGGGGTTGGGCCAGAGTTGCTTTTACATATTTGTTTTGAGTTTTGGAGTAGGTAATCTGCGGAAATGGTTGAAGTATTATTTGGTCCATAATAAGTTCTATGTTTCCCTTTCACAGGAATATATGTAAAAGAATGGATATGAAAACAAAGAGGAGAACTGTCATAGAGAACGGAGATACAGGAGATGACATGGTTTTAGCAAATTTGATTGTGAATGGAGATGATGTCGGTCCTCTTGTTAGGCATGCCTTTGAAATGGGGCGACCTGAAGGGCTTCTTAATCAGCTGAATTATGTTATGAAGAAAAAAGGAGCTGAAATTGAGGAAATGTGTAAGGCACATTATGATGAGTTCATCCTTGCGGTTGATGAGCTCCGTGGTGTGTTACTTGATGCTGAAGAGCTCAAGAGTGAGCTCCAAAGTGATAACTGTAAGTTGCAGCAGGTTGGAAATGCCCTTCTTGTTAATCTTGAGGAACTTCTTGATTCTTATGAGATAAAGAAGAATGTTACTGAAGCTATAAAACTGTCAAAGCATTGTATTCAGGTGTTGGAGCTTTGTGTAAAGTGCAACAATCACATTTCTGAAGGCCAGTTCTATCCTGCTTTTAAAACTTTGGATTTATTAGAGAAAGATTACTTGCAAAATATTCCTGTCCAGAAACTCAAAATGGTTATAGAGCAGAGAATTCCTGTAATAAAATTACACATTGAGAAAAAGTATGTAGTCAGGTTAATGAATGGCTGGTCCAGATAAGGAGTTCTGCCAAAAATATTGGACAAACAGCCATTGGTCGTACTGTTTCAGCTCGGCAGAGAGATGAGGAAATGCTACAACAGCAAAGAAAGGCTGAGGAGCAAAATATTTCTGGGGCTGGGGATCTAACGTATACCTTGGATGTTGAAGAGTTTGATGAAGATTCTGTTTTAATGTTTGATCTTACTCCTCTTTATCGCGCTTGTCATATTCATGATTGCCTGAGAATCTCAGAAAAGTTTCGTGAATATTACTACAAGAACAGAGTGTTGCAGTTGAAATCAGACTTGGAAGTGTCTTCGACACAACCTTTTGTTGAATCATACCAAACATTTTTTGCTCAAATGGCAGGGCACTTTATAGTGGAGGACAGGGTCCTGCGAACTGCTAAGGGCCTCTTGGTAGCTGATCAGGTTGAAAAAATGTGGGAAATTGCTGTGGCTAAAATTACTTCATTGTTGAATGAGCAATTCTCTTGTATGGACTCTGCTACCCACATTCTCCTTGTGAAGGACCATGTCACACTTCTGGCTTCTACTCTTAGGCAGTATGGATATGATGTCGGTCCACTTCTTGAGGTACTTGATAACAACTGTGACAAATATCATGCACATCTTTTGGAAGAATGTCGGCAACAAATTGTTGATGTGCTTGGCAATGATGTCTATAAGCAGATGATAATAAAAAAGGATACTGATTATGAGAATAATGTTCTGTCATTTAATCTTCAAACTTCAGATATATTGCCGGATTTTCCATATGTTGCACCATTCTCATCCATGGTCCCAGATACTTGTCGCATTGTGAGATCCTTTATCAAAGGATCTGTTGACTACTTATCTTATGGTGTTCATATGAACTTTTATGGTATTGTAAGGAAGTATTTGGACAAGTTCTTGATTGATGTATTAAACAAGATATTAATTGATACTATAAATAGCAGCAATATTAATGCGTCTCAGGCCATGCAGATTGCTGCAAACATATCTGTTCTTGAAAGGGCTTGTGATTTTTTTCTTCAACATGCTGCTCAATTATGTGGTATCCCAATTCGGTCAGTTGAGAGCCATCAAGCTACTTTATCTGCAAAAGTGGAACTGAAGACATCAAGAGATGCAGCTTACGTTGCTCTTCTGAATTTGGTGAACAAAAATGTAGATGGGTTCATGGCTATCACGGAAAATGTTAATTGGACTTCAGATGAGATAAGGCAGCATGGAAATAACTATATGAATGAAGTGATCTATTGCCTTGACTCTGTTATGTCTGCGGCGCAGCAAATTTTACCCTTGGATGCTGTGTATGCAGTAGGGGTTGGAGCACTTGAGCATATTTCCAATTCTATTGTGGCAGCTTTCCTTAGTGATAGCGTCAAGAGATTTAATGCGAATGCTGTTATGGGTATTGACAATGACCTTCTGACATTAGAGACTTTTGCAGATGAGAGGTTTCATACCGCTGGATTGGATGAACTTTACAAGGAAGGTAGTTTTAAGAGTTGCTTGGTAGAAGCACGACAACTGATCAATCTTTTGCTAAGCAGTCAACCTGAGGACTTCATGAACCCTGCTATAAGAGAGGAAAACTACTATGCTTTGGATTACAAGACTGTTGCTGCAATATGTGACAAATTCAAGGATGCTCCAGATGGAATTTTTGGAAGCCTTTCAAATAAACATGCAAAGCAGAGTGCTAGAAAGAAATCAATGGACTTGCTCAAAAAACGACTAAAAGATTTCAATTGATGCTCCACATGGTAATTTATTCTTTCATTCAGAGTAGGTCATATTTGTAGAATTCGTCTCATGTGGATGCTTAGATTTTGAAGTAATAGTTAAGTTCTTATCCCATAATTTATTTTCACAGCCACATGCGCATTGCTTAAATTTATCTGCTTCTGACTCCGTTATTTTGCACCATTCTGTTCTTGAAATATGGTGATTTATCCCTATGAGCGCAAATTGGTCGTTAGGGATTTAGGGTAGTTCACTGGCGCCAAAGCTTTGCTTATATGAATATTAAGCTCTGCGCACTATTGCCTGCTGATGAATAAACAGATTTTTTTTTTTCCCAGCTCAGTGTCTTGTACAATTAATCTTGTTTTTTCTCGACGTGGAAGTATTTCTGTTTGCATCACTTGAGATACAAGTGTCGTAGGTCGTTATTTTGACAAACCAGTTCGTTCAATTGACAGGAAAAATGGTAGTTTGTTCTGGTTGATTCAGAATCTTAGAAAGTGCACCAATGTATGTCGTCGGGGTTGATGATTTTGCAGGGCAGGGGAGTTTCCCTGCCCCCGTCCCTGCCATAAAGTAGTTCTCTCAGCCCTATTTCCGTTCTCTGTTAAATGCTAGAGACAATAAAGGATCAGAGACCTTGTGGGACTGAGAGTATGATCCTTGTTCCGGTACCAAATTGTCCAAGGTAGTTTTTTCTCCCCCATCTTAATTCCTCAAAATTTCCGAGTTGAATATTTTCAGTTGTGTTTCAGTTGGATTTGTTTAATTCGGTTAACTTTGGTGATTCTTGATGTTATTGTTGCAGACAATACATGCTTAATCAACTAAGAGATGGAATGCGGATGCTTTTTCCAAGAGGTTTGCTAAGATCAGAAATTAATTTATTTGCAGTCCAGTATTTGATACTTCGATTTTGAATCCTAAATGTTGGCAGTGGAGGATCTGCATCTAGCGAATGAAATGGTGTATCCACGAAGTCTGGCCATAAGTCGAAAGTTGTTAGCAAATTTGATAGTAAATCCAAAGATTCAATAGAAATTAACGTCATGAACGAAGCTCCTGAGATAGAAGGAACTGGCTCAAATGCTGATAACATGTTGAGATTATCTGATGAGTGGGGCAGCATAAATGGCAATGTATAGAGGTCATCTTGCACATTCGATGTGGGCACAATGTAACAATTAGATTAGTTGGAGTGATTTGACTTATTATGATAAGGCTATTTTTTTTTTCTCCTTGGGGCCAGGATTAACAAGTTATTTTTTACAAGTCGTTTGCAATTATAGGGACTGGAAAAATAATTATAGGGACCTTATTAAAGTAATGTGAAGCTATAAGGATTTGATGATAAGGGGGGAAAAAAAACTATTGGTGTTTCATTAACGATTAGGTGAAATTATAAAAAGTTTTTTTTTTTTAGGGTTAAGGTATGTCTGGCATTTCGAATTATTTTTCAAGGTGTTTAACACTCTTGAACTATTTTGTGGTGCAATTTAACCTGTAATGTTATTAAATTCGTGCAGTTTCATCCCAAACTAACAGGGTGAAAAACATCTGTTTTCTTCCTTGCCAGGTAAGCATTTGGCTTTTCTTTTTTTTTAACCATGACATGTAATTACAAAATTTTCCCACTATGTATGAGCAAAACAAAAAGGAAAGCTTTCACCTGTGTGTGGAAAAAAAAAAAAAAAGATTGTTGCGGAGTCATTTATATCTAGATTCATCGCGGATGGTCCCCCTAAAGGGATATGAAATTTGCACCTTTTGAAGCCGTTAAAGATGTATATCTTGTTAGCCAGAGTATTGCCATCGTGAGTGAGGGAGGACGTTTAACCAAGGCTGCATTTACATAAGCTGCAATAAGGGCATGCTTTGGAAGCCCGACGAGGATGTGTTTTCCTTTACGCTTAGATCCGTCATTTTCCGCCGTTCTCATAGTGTTGAGGTCTTGGCCGGTGACAACTGCCTTTTTATGGTTTCCCAAAAGGCGATGTGTGGCGAAATTGACCTACGGGATCTGAGGAAGAGAAAGGTGAGCAAGTTCTCGGAAGATCTTAGATCTGCGACTTTTCAATAGAGACACTGATGATGCGATTGGGCACATATACTCACTAGATACGAGGAATGGGCGGGCGTACGTGCTGTCCAAGAGGTGAAATTGTCAGCCGACGAGGGGGACTATGCAAACCCTGATTTGACCATCAATGAGCTTGTTGATGCCCAGGTGGAAATTTTTGCAATTAGGTGTCATTCTTAGAAAAGCAAAATGCTTATGTGGCAAGGGAGAAAACAGACGTTTTTTTATTCTGTTACTTTGGTGTGGAATTACACCAATTTCATTACATTAGTTTAGGGTACTAATCGCACTTTAAAAAAAAATTCAGGGTTCTGCACGCATTTTAACTTTTTTTTAATCAAAATATACATATGACGTTCTAATTTTGTATGTTTTTAAATTTATAAATTATATTTTTAGTTTCTTAATATCAACATTGTTAATATAAAAACTCAAGGAATATATTTAAATGATTTCGCAATTAAATGCTAACAAAAATGATTTTAATATAAGAAAAATTGGGAATAAATTTCTTATTACATTAATTGGTAAATGATGTCTAGAATGATGGATTATGTAAATTTGTCACTTACATAACTAGAACTAACTATGATGGAAAGGAAATAAACCAATAAATATACATACCCTATCATGGTTATTTATAAGTAATCACATTAATAAGGGGCTAGCTATGATAGAAAGACATTCGATCTCAATCAAGACTATCATGGTTAGAAAAATAAATAATTTATATCTATAATCAACAAATACTATCATATAGCACATTCGTATGCAAACCATGTTAGAAAAAATTAGTCATAGCTAATATGGTTCTAAAACAACACGCCTCTAATTAATAAATTATAATAGTAGTTCAGATTTAACTATTTTAATCAATACTAACAAGGATTAAACTTATAGAAATTGACATTATCGCATTGTGGATTCACAAATAATACAACTACACGCAACCTAAGGGCCTCAAGCTCACTACCAGCATTTCAAGCCAGTGTCCCAACAAAAAAAAACCAAAAATAGAAAATGCAATACGTTCATCAAGACAAACAACATAAAAATATGAAAAGATAAAATAAGATCCAAATGCAGTCCTGATGCATGGCAATATACTAAAAGATTGAATAAAGTGACGTCCAGAAGCTCTATACTGTCAGCCGTAGCTATTGAGCCTTAGGAGTCTTTCCTGAAAATCCTATTGATATATTGTTTCCTGAAAATGGTAAAACAATGAAAGTGAGACAACGTCTCAATAACTAAATCTCTACCTATCACACATCGTAGCATGGGTTAGTGAGGTGTTAGATGAGATATGTAGAGTTAATAACAGTCAATAAATATTTATTTAACATTTAAACTCACAATAACTATATAAGTCAAATATTTCCGCCAATCTCATGCAACTAATAATTTCAAAAGAGATAACATACTTTTTGTTTATTTAAAGGATATAAATATTAATGAAGATCCTATATCATATATAATTCATGAACCCTAATCCATTCTTACATCCTTCTTATTTCCACCAACTTGACAAGCTTACTATACGAGTGATGTGGACCGGCTAAAGACCACAGAGCATTTGATGGACGATGAGTCCCCTCTCGAAGAACTAGTGGGGTGTTACAGTCCCTCGAAGAACTAGTGGGACAATAACAGTAGCCAACCATAGAGTTCAGTATGGAGGCCGATACCACGTGGCAAGTATATAAATCTCAATAACTCCAATCATCTACTTTCCCCACCTAAACTAGATACAAAAGTTCACAATAACACATTTATATGCATAATCAACCGAATTCCAGAATAATACCTTATAGTCATAATCATTAGTTTCTAACAATACAAACGATTTCAATCCTTTTTAAAATGGCATTCCACAAGGCAGTTCATACAAAATATAATATACTTATATAAAAATTGGTTATAAAACCACTCACCAATTTCATACCAGGGTATGCAACAAATAAAAATTTAATTACCTAGTCTCTCACTAACAGTCAAATACAACCAAAGTCTAACATAAAAAACACTATAATAGGGTTTATATCTACAAATGAAATTAAAATGTTATCTTTATAGTATTAGAGTAAGCTACTCACAAAATCCTAGCATCTAAGTCCTTCTCTAAAAGCTTCAACTTTTACTCAGAATTCTAACTTAAAAGATCTTTTTCTAAGGTTTGAAATGAGAACATGTATATGATCTAGACTCGATTCCTAAATTTTTCCTTGCTTAAATATTATTTAATTATTAGGTTATATTATTAGAATCATCAAATTCATAACGTAGATAGAAAAATCCCAATTTATAACTTATGTTCTATCTTTGAAGAATTTAGATAAATAGATTTAATATTAGCTAAGTTACTCTCACCACAGAAATTAAACCATTGATCTAACCATTGACTTTAATTTCCTATCTATCATGATATTATTTTCCAAACTATGGTTCAATCTAACAATGAACGAACTTAAAAATACTAATTTACTATTCAGGATTCCATCTACCTAATATAAAAAAAAATAAGTTGAAAACGTACATGGTAACTTGTAACTCAGAGATCAAACTAACGATCCAATTGTTGAAATTAACGACTTGGATGTCCCAAATGGGCTGACCAAATTTTAGTCTAATTCAACAGTTAACAAACTTAAAACTAACACTTTTATGAAATTATTTCAGATATGTGCAAAAATTGTTTACTTACTTCAAACTCCTTCCATCACCTCCTATATATAGGCTCCTCAAGCTCTTTCACTCTAGTAATTAGTTGATGTGGGACTTCTATATCATGTTATACTTTTTTATTTCTGTAATATCACACACACACACACAAACATGATTAAAAATAATAATAATAATTTGCCTATATTTAAATTTTCATTAACTTAATAGTAAAATATATTTATTTATAAGTTTAATTAAATTCTATATATAAAAATAAAGATGTTACAGATTACACAAGAAAATATAAACTGCATCTAAAAAAATTAAGTTACATAAAATAAGTTACATAAATAGAAGATGGTTTGTACGAAATACTAAGATTGATTTACATATAGGAAAGATTAATTACACATAAGAAAAATTTAATTGCACGGACCACAAGGAGAAGTTTTGACAATTAATTTATCAATAAGGGGTTTATCTCCTTTTTTTTTTTCATACAAGCTTTTCATATTTTAAGTTAATAAAACTAATGATATTAGGACTAAAAAACTAAACATATACTTTATGAATGTAAGGGATTACACTGAAACTTAATGTAAAATTAATGGACAAGATTTTAGCTTTTTTTTGTTAACTCGAGTCTCAAACTGTGTTTAAATCAATATTAAGTTCTATTTTGCCAGCTAAATCAATACTAAGTTATCGTGCCAAGGAAATGCTCAAATTCATGAATTACTAGTTCTCTAGTTCAATCCAAACGTCACTATTCTCCATATGTTACAGCACAAATAAAATTCGAACTTGCAACGAAAAAGAGGGGGGTTTTTGTTTTTGAGTACCTTCCTTGTGTGTAATAAGATTGACTCCATTTAATCTATTATTTCAAATAGGACTACAAATATTAATCCTGAATTCTTTAAGGAATTCTTTGTAAGCTTTGTGAATGACCGATTCGCAACTTTCAATAACTTGCATAAATGTATTACATAAGTAAACCAATTAAAAAAATGACATAAAAAGAAGTGTGAAAATATAAAATGACAAAAAGAAAAACTTGGAGCTGCAAATGAAGAAAAACTAAATTGAGGGTTTGAAATTGAAGTATACTTATATAAATGCCTTTTTTTTTTAAGAAAAAATCTAACCGTCTTACTAAAAACCTCATCAGCGGTCACCGTGGACGCCATCGCCTCCTACAAGGGTCGGAGTACCGGCGCCAGCCCCAGCAGAATGCTGTGCCTGTGGTGCTAACAGTTATTGGCCACTGGTGGGTCACTGCCTGTCTGGTGATGACGTTGAAAACTTTTCTTTTTCTGAGTATAAAAAACATCTATGTAATTATATTTCAATTTTAAAATCTCATTTTAAATTTTCCTTCCATTTTTGTTATTTCCAACTCATAACTTTCCTTTTTGTTATTTCACAGTTCAAACTTCTTTTTATGTCATTTTTCCTAAATCAATAATCACATATTCTAATAATTAA